TTTTAAAACTTTCAGGTTATATTTTGCAATGTACAATCTACGAACTTGTATGTAAAATGTTAGATGATCATGCATACTTAGCTGCAAGCAAATAGGATAAGCACTGCTAATTATACAACTTAGACATATTAGAATTTAAACAAATTGTAAAATTAGAGGTACCAAAAATATTCCCACTAAGTCACAATTTTTTGTTTAGTAATGTAGAGGGATACATGCTTAAATGTTATAATATCATTGATAAAAGAGGTCAGATAAACAAAAACAAGACTTGCTACTTCAAAACATGAAAGAAATTGTTTTTTCAGAAAAAGTTTTGTAGAATCGATTCTACAAAATATTTTCTGAAAAAAACAATTTCTTTCATGTTCTGAAAGCATTCATGTTTTGAATGCTACTTCATGCTCTTTTATGTTTTAATCAGCGGTAAAAAAAATTTCAGCATTTTAATCAAATGAATCAGTTACATTTTTACTAGGAACTAAGCTGTAATAACTTCTTCTTGAAATAATTGAAATATTTATACTTGATTTTAAACTTTTAATGTCAGCTAGTAGCAAAGTACCATTTATCTGAAGCAAGCTTTAAGCAATCTTGATTAAATAATTATAAAACCTAATAGGATGAAGAATAATCTTTGCTTTCTTTTATTCTTTATTAAATGTTTATCAGCAATCCTGTCCTTGTGCTTGGCGTTAAGGTGACGAGTCACTGTGTGATATACATCGTTTCTTGCAGAACAAACACATAAATATTCTTTCTACACTTTGGTTAGGATAAATTAAAATAGGTAGTCTAATATTTGAACTAAAATTAAGATCTGCCTCCAACAAATAGCAACTCAATAGCAGCTAAAACAGCATCGAATTCATTCAAATTTTCAGTCTGCGCTACAAAAAGTCATTTTAAAAACATTTGATGCACTCTCAGTCCAGTCACCCCTTAAAGCTCAAGTTATTTTACGAAATCTATAGAAAACAGCCCGCGTTTCCAGACTAGTTAAATACTATGACTATGATTTAACTAAAACATTTTACAATAATTATTTTTTTTATCAAGCAAAAATGAGAGTAACCGTCACTTTTGAAACCATAAAAATTACTGAAATAAATTTATTTTTCTACTAAGGAAATATTTTAAATAAACTTTCATGTGTCTAAGTCAATATTCATTTGTTTTTAACTAACTAAAAAGAGTTTAAAATTTGACTTCTATTCATTTTTAGCCGTGGAATTGCCCTTATAACACAAATATATAAATTAAAATTATATAAAAAATTTTAATATACAAATATATTTTCACAAAATGCTACAAAACTTATTCTTGTAAGTAATTATGTGTTAGTTGAAAAAAAACGACTTTACTTTTAAATTTGATTACCAACTAATAAGTTTGCAATAATGACATTTTGTCTACTTTGTTTAATTTAAATTTACGTTAGTTTTTTGAGGCAGTAGAGTCAATAAACTTTGGACAAGACGCATTTTTTTTAATCGAAGAAAAGCATTTTTTTGAAAATTAAATTTGTTAGTGTGTGTTCATTATTAAGTTTTAGAAAAAATAATATACATCAAACATTTTTTTTATATCTTTATAGCACTTAGGGATCCCTTTAAACAAAAAAAACAAACTAATATCTAAATGTCGCCATGAGAAAAAGTTTTTGCTGGACAACCACAAACCAAAAGATTTTTTAAGCTCATTTTCATTTTCTTTCTCTCATTTTTTTTGTACAGATTTATTATTTTTTCACGAGAAAAAAAACATATTTACACTTGATGATTGCATTTAGCATGAAATATATAGTTGTGAAAAAAAAAAAAGTTTTATTTATAAATGATATATGTAAATACAGCTGTTTTAACTTAAATCATTTTAATTTACTTTAATTCATCGAGCACTCTCACGAAGATATATGCAAGCACTAATATGTATACATACATATATATATATATATATATATATATATATATATATATATATATATATATATATATATATATATATATATATATACATATATATATATATATATATATATATATATATATATATATATATATATATATATATATATATATATATGTATATATATATATATATATATATATATATATATATATATATATATATATATATATATATATATATATATATATACATACACGATCATAACAAGCCATGCGAGTTGCTCCTCCAAAAAGGTTCTTACAAGAGTTTTTGAATTTTGCACAAGCTATCTATTTATTCATTTAAAAAATTGCTTATTAAATACATATATTGGTTTTATGCATGTTACCAGCATGTTTGTAACATTAATGTTACAAAAATATATTTATATAAGCCTTTCCAGAAAGAGCGTGCGATAGCACGCTATGTTCATCCACGCTGAAAGTAATTTTTTTAAGACAAACTGACCACAGCAGTTTGCATCTTTTAACTTATAAAGCATTTCAATAATTTGCAGCCAAAAGTTAAACTTATCTACTAAAAAAAAAAAATCCTAAAAAAGGAAACAAAAGTGTAAGAAATATCAAGTTTAATTTAATAAACTAGAAAATTTAATAATTAAAAAAAAAAATTTTTTTTAATATTTTATACAACTTTCTAATTTTTTTTTTTTTTTTTAGAGTCATTGTTTTTAGCTATTGAACTTTATACAAGTTGATGAAAAAAAAATTTACCTTTTATAACAATTTAACAACAGTTGAAAGTTTAAAAATATGCAATTAATTTACAATTTTTATTAGTCCTTATAATAAAGAAACTAATTTGTATGTACACTAGAACCATTAGAAATTTTGTTAATTTTTTTTCTTATTAAGTTTATTTGTTTTGATGTCTTCTTGCTTTTAAAAATGTTTTTTCTCAATACTTATATAGTAGAAAAATAAGAAAATAAATTGATATTTTTTTGTTAAATATATTATTTGAATAATAAATTTTGTAATGATGGAATAATTTAAATAAAAAAATAATATATATGGGTTGTAAAAAATAATATGGTTTAATAATGCATGCCTGAAATTGTTTTTTTTTATATTGACCAATTTCTAATGTTAATACGAATTACTAGAGATAATGAACATAACGATTGCTCTGTTTGAAAAAATGTATTTAAAAAAAAAAAAAGTTGAAACAAAATATTTAAATAATCTTTTATATATATTTTTAAAAAAGTTCAGTAAATTAACAATGCAGTAGCCAACAAGATTTTGGAGCATCGTCAATATAATTAGTTCATCAGGAAATAAACTACCGGGTTCAAATCCTACAAAAGTGCTATTTAAAATTTTAAATCCTACAAAAGTGCTATTGCAATGGAGTATTGAAAACAACCAAATATTTTATACTTAAATATTAGTATTAATGACTTTTTATTCTTTTACTTACTATACAAAAGCATGGTCAAGTTGCCTATAAAATTACTTTAAGCGTGGAAGAACAAGGCATGCAATTGCACGTGCTTATTGGGAAGGCTTGATACATATATATATATATATATATATATATATATATATATATATATATATATATATATATATATATATATATATATACTTACTAAAGCGTGTTTTGATAAGCATTTGCTCACTTTTTCTGCTTATCTTAAGCTACACCGTTTCTTTCGAAAAAGAAGAAGAAAAAACAAAGAATGATGAATGAAACGATTGCTTCCCCATCCCAAACCCTCAGTCGATGTAGCAGCACTCCACTGCGAGTCAGGCTATTTGTCAGTCGATGTATGTACTGAAGCTCCCAGCAGCAGGCTATTTCAGTATGACGTCAGATTGCTTACTTTAGTACGCAATACTATTTGTGTATATATATATATATATATATATATATATATATATATATATATATATATATCAAGCATCATTTATTACGCCATAAAAAAAAATTCTTTAAACAAGCATTGTCATTGGGTTTTTATACTAGCTATCCATTTATCTATTAACAACATTTGATAAAAAAAATTGACAAAGAGCTATAAAAGTTTTTATTGCTTATAAAATTGTTTTCTTATTGTAATCTTTTTTTATTTTCTTATAGTAAACTTTTAAATTATTCATTGTAATACTTTATCAATATAATTTAGAGTGTAATAACTTTAATTATTAGTTACTCCAATCTAATTAAAAATATTTGCATTTCAATCGGTTATTTTTTTTTTGTTGCAACTATGTCTTTTAAAAAGCATTGCAGTTTATTATGCAATTAATTTACATTTTTATAAAAAAAAATGACTTTTTCAATTTCATTTCATTCTTTTTCTACTACTACTACTACTACTACTACTACTACTACTACTACTACTACTACTACTACTACTACTACTACTACTACTACTGCTGCTACTGCTACTGCTACTGCTACTGCTACTGCTACTGCTACTGCTACTGCTACTACTACTACTACTACTACTACTACTACTAACAGCACTATTGAGTTCAGCAATAATATATATGATTACTTGATTTCCACATAATTACAAAACTATCAATATTTTAGCAAATCACTTAATATTATTAAATTTAATACTCTTTAAGCAAACAAATAGCCTAATATTATCTATAAAGTAGACAAACTGGTATCTAAAGCATTTTTGTTATTGATATACCAGTTAACAGCCTACATGAAAAAAACAATGTAAATCTCCTATCAAAAGACATTTTAATATTTGATTTTTTTTTCAATCATAGAAGACGACAAAAAAATTATTGATAACAACAAAATTTTAATAAAATTTTGCAACACACTAAACATTTTTGTCTTACTCAAAATTATTGTCAAATATTGACAATAAAAATTGGTAAAAAAATTAAATTTTAAGTTTCAACTATATTTTTAAATCAAATTTATGAGTTAACAATTTTAAATATAATATTATTTTCGAAAACAATAAAAATTGTTAGCCAAAAAATAAAAATACTAAAAAAATTGAATATATATATATATATATATATATAAAAAAAAAAATTAGAAAAAATAATTACCGCTTTTGTAGTTCGAAATGAATTTCCTCGTAAGAAGCTACCAGATAACTTATCAGACTTTGCTATTGAATTTAGAAATTAAAGTTAACAACAAAATATATACATAACATAATTATTATGTCCAACTAAAATGTTAAATATAATAAACAAAAATTAAATACTAGTTATTTCTGAAGTATTTATAATAATAAATAACAACTGTTTATAAATACTCACAATATTTACAACAATTTTAACCAAACAAATTTTTAAAATAACTTCTTTAACATGACCTGTGTCTTTATGCAGCCTTGTTTGTTAAGGTTTCAAAATTAAAGGGTAAAGATGATTTAAAACAATTTTTAAAACAAAATATATTATAAATTAACACAATTTTTTGAAAAGTTTTTATGACAATAATCAAACTATAATGACAATAATTATAAAAAATAAAAAAATAAAAGCTATTGAAAGTAATAAAAATAGCTCTTGTCAATAAAAAACTATATTATCTTCTCAGTAAAAAAAAAACAATTTTTAAACATTTGATTTTGAAATAACAGCTTTATCTGCTTCCTCAAAACACAATCTAATATACTTTAAACCAAATGTTTATTGGATGACTAAATATAACAAAAACTAATGCCATAAATGTGTTATTCAAACTGTATGTCCCTTTTCTTTAACACTAATAGAATTTTCAAATTTAAAGATAAAAAAACAAACTAAAATTGTTAGTTTAGAAAATTTTTAAAGACTTAGCACTAGATGTTTGAACCTTTTATATTTTTCAATCATACAATAGTAATATTATTAAAAAGCTCATATTATATTTATATAAACAACTATTAAAGACAACCAGTTAGCTTATCATTTAATGATACTGGTTATCTTAAGCTTGTCACTAGCATATTTAATAAAATTAAAAGCAACAGTACTAAGTCTCTTATTTATGCATAAAGGCTTTTCACCCTTTTTCTACATATCAACTGGTACATACTTTTATTTTATCAATATGTTAAAACATATTGATATAATATGAATATATATATATATATATATATATATATATATATATATATATATATATATATATATATATATATATATATATATGTAATAGTGTCATATGGTGTGTTCTTGGAGGCAAAAAAACATTGATAATGTCATGCTAAAATGGGGATGGACAGAGTATGCATAAACTATAATCTATTTTGATACATCACTTAATTCTCCTTGCACTATAAATATAATTTACAAAAAACATTTTATTTAAACATCTATTTCGAAATGTAAAGGAAATTGTAAATATCAATGTGCAAAAGTTTGAGAACAATTCAGGTTTATACTTATATTTAATATACTAAAGGAACAAAAATAATTTAAAAAAAAAATAAACAAAAAACTTGATAGACTTTTATAAAAATAACACTTGACATTATTGGCGCATAAAATCAAAAAGTTTGACAAGTGTCTTTTTCGATCTTTCTTCTTTCATGTCTATCTTTTTGACTTGATCTATTAACTCACAAACCCTTCAAAAGTGTTTTAAAAGATTTATGCAACAAAAATAGGAGAGTTAGTTGTAAACAGTGAATTTTAAAAGTTAAAAAGTGTTATAATTGATTAGCTATTTAGGATCATTGGTTAAATACCCAAATGTTATTATATATATATAAAGTGATTGCTTTTATAGTGATCCATCATATCTTTAATAAGATGAATCAGACCAATAGTATCTACAAAAGCACTTCTTAATTTTCTACTCCATGTTGGCAGTATATTTTTTATTATTCTATGAAAATATTTGAGGACAACAAATATTGTTTATTCTACCTGAAAAAGCAATGTAAACTTCAAGCCTCAGCTCCAAATAATTTTTATCCCCAAAAGAAATTGTTCACAAACTTTAGCACACTACTGTGTGTAGATATATACAGATGATCACAACACATGTTTTATTTTAAGTTTTATACACTAAAATAATAATATGAATTAACAAAAATTATACAGTTTATTTTTATAATAAATATATTTTAACTTAATTTAGACATTAACTATAAGTAAATTAACTATATAATTATATATGCAGACTTTTGTATTTGATGTTGTAAACTTTGAATGTAACATAACATAAGTTGTATAAAATAAATTAAAGAAGTTGTTTAATTAAAGTAAATTATAAAAATAAGGTAAAATTAAAGTACAGTTAGATATATCAAATATTACTTCAGTACAATTACAGCTATTTGATTAAAGTGATGTTCAAATTTTAAATTTTATAACTTATTTATTTGCTAAAATCAAAATAATTTAGGAGTATTCTCAATTTGGGCAACCTGTAGATATAATTTAAAATGTACTAGAAAAATACCTAAAGAAATAAAATGAAAGCATCAAGGTAGAATCGATAGTTTCTCTAATTTATACAAGTAAGAAAAATCTTTTTTTTTTTTTTTTAAATAAAAAAAATTCTTTTAAAACTAATTAAACATTTAAGAGCCTTAGAAATTATACAAGAAAGCATTAGATATTAATAAAAACTTATTAACAATAATCAAGCAAAAACTAGACTTTATTCAACTCTTTAAAAGAACTTTAACACTACATGGGTTAATGAATGTGTTAATATATATCAATACTTAATAATAGAGATTAGCAAGAAGATGTAACTATTGTTGTTTTGTTTAGTCAACAATAAGCCTAAACATTATCTTTGTTCAAGGTAATACTTTTAGCCTAATTGCTTTGTCTAAGGTAATGAAAAATATATAAACTTTATTTTAAAACATAAGTGCTTTAATTTATCATTGGAATTAACAGTAAAACTTTAACAGTGATTTTTAAAACTCTGTTTTTAATAAATTATCTCTTTTTTTTTAATGAAATTACATTATCAAAGAGAATGGATTGGTATAAATAGTAGCCATATTTATTAAACCGATTTCTCTTTCATTTTATTAAGTAACTAATATTTTGCAGAACGAGTCTTCTCTAAAAAAAAATGCCATAACTAAAGATTCTTCTATTTTCGCATATAAACTTTTACTTTACTAGAATAAACAAACAAAAAAAGTTATTTAGCGTAATGACTCTACATTTTAAGATCACTACCGCCGCAAAAAATACGTTTTCCATTACGTTTAAAATAACGAGAACAATAAGCATTAAAGTATTTGGAGTGGCTTCACGTTATTAATGCACTCCTCCGTTGAAAAATGTCATAAACCATTATCACAATGGGTCGATTAAAGTGACTTGTTAAACAAGCAACGTTTTTATAAACAAGTTATTGTTATCAAAATAAACTTTATTTTTTTAAAAATCGTAAGAAACTACTTAACAAAAAGCTTAGGGTAAAAAACACGCTCTTAGTTTCTTTTACCACTTTTGAATAAAAACAAACGATCTTTGAACGCATATTGTTAGGATTTTCAACAATTTTTTAAATAACTAGCAGCTAAAACTATTGCGCATTTCTTAGCTTACGTTTTTTTATCGATAAATCGATAAAAACGAAATAAAAAAACAAACAACTCATTTGCGTAAGTGAATGTTTTAACAATTATTAAACAATTTTTAAAATTTTAAGTTTCGACTATATTTTTAAATCAAATTTATGAGTTAACAATTTTAAATATTTAAATTTAAAAAAACATTTTGAAAAATTCAAAAAAATGTTTGTTATATTTCACTATGAACAACTAAAAATATTTAAAAAAAAAAAACGCATCGCAAGTTTTTGCTTAGGTAAATACTAAATTTTTGAACATATTTTTTTTTATTACTAAAGTTAAATACTTTTGAAGCCTTATATTTCAAACATTTTAAGAGTTAATTTTTTAAGTTAATAAAATAGCATTTTAAAATGCTACCTTTCAGTTAAAACTAAAAGATTGAAAACATCGACGAAACAGTGTTAACATTAGTTAATTACAGTTTCATAGATGTTTGCAATGTTTTATTTTCAACATTTACTGTCGACTTGAAATTTAAGTTTCATTTAAGCTCATTTTGAGCGGCGTTTTGATATGAGAATAAAATCTCCGTTAAACAATATTGCGGAAGCAATTGTAAAAGATTTGCAAATAGAAAAACGAAAAAATTATCGTAGAGCATGAACTTGTGATTCTTGTATTAAGTTTTTTTTTAGAGCTAATTAAAGAACTTCAAAAAATTTAAATATGCCATATTTAACACTAAATAATAATTATTTTTAACTAATTTGTTAAACGATCCTAGATTTATATGGGGAAAACTATATATAAATACGGTCTAAAAAACTTGTGATTTTCTTATTTTAAAAGATGTAAATAATAATTTTATACGTAATTTTGAGATTCGGTTTTTTCTGCCACACACACACACGCACACACACACACATATATTTATTTATATATAAATTTTATTGATTGAATGGACATTCAATTATTTATCTTAAAATTTAATCAAAGTGGATGTTTTAAAAAAAAGCAACTTGATATATTTCTTTGACAAAATATTTAAAAGCTTCAAGCGCTAAATAACAAGACTCGATGCATAACTAAATACGAAACTTTAACAAAAGCATTTAAACTTAAAGGCTTTTGTTTTTTTAATTATGTTTTTGGTGCTCCAAGAAAACCTAACGGTCTTTTCACAGAGCACCGCAGAAGAGCATTCAACTTGGAAGTTCACGCCTCCTTTCTTAGCGATGGCGCGAAATTTGTCCAGAGTTCGCTTCGAACCCTGGATCTCTTGCTTTTAAACCGACTGCGGTTCGGCCGCTAAAAGAACCCGTTAAAAAAGTAAACAATTGATACAAACTAATTAACTTTTTTTTTCTTTTAATTTAAAGTTAAAATAATAGTGTGTAATTGCAAACTAAAGATATTTAACAATTTTTAAAAACACTTTAATTACGTTTATAACAAACAATGTAAAAAAATCAGGTCTTGATCTTGGGTTTTTTGAGTCTTACAGCATATTTTTTTGCAATGTTTATTTATAAAAATAAAGAGTTTTAAAAAATCGTTAAAGCA